TTAGTCCTCTACATCGAATGGTTTTTATTGTAAAGAAAATCAAATAAAGACAAAAAACAATGTTCTTATTTTTATTTAGTTCAATGAAATAATAACATATAAATGTATTTTAGTTTAACTGTATTTGTAGCAAAATATGTATTTTTATTATTTTCAGAGTTTGTTATGATGTTTATATCGCAGGAGAAATTAGTATTCAAGAAAATAAAAAGCCTCTGTAACTTCTAATTGCTCAATTAATATTCATGTATAGCTATTTGATAACGAAAAAAAAATGAATAAATGATCGCAATCGGCTAAGAATATGGAAGAGAAGAAAGAGGTGTATGTCACAACGTAGTCAACATGCTATCGAATGGGTAATTCAAGACGAATCGTATTTAGTGAGTTGTGCAGAGTCATTCCATGACTAAAAGTATTGCAATTTGCACAAAATACTTCGTAGATGCGTGTCGAATTATGTAGCCACTTAATCATGGCGACCAGCTAAGGATATGAAAATTATTGCAGTTAATATAAACAGAGGATATGTGACTATCTTTAGTACGCATGGCCACAATCTAGTCACGACCGTAATAAATGTAAGTTACGGCAACTTCAATGGGAATAATCCTCATTCTCAACTAGAAATGTTCAGAATAAGCATGTTCGTACCTTGTACTTTGACTGAGAAAAATTTTCTAACCTTTGACCCGCCCTATTGTGTAGTGATAGAGTACTCTTGCACATCTCTGTCCTCAACAGATTATTATAAACACTCTATTTTATCAGACATTTTTTTTCGATGAAATTTGTAATTCATACATGTATGTTTACACTGCTTATCGATACGATCGTTTTAGTTAGAGTTTGTCTCGCTGTGCTTTCATTCGACTCTACTTTTCGTAAAGTATGGAATTGCATGAATTTATTTTTAGTCGAGTTCTAATTTTGCCCGATCAAAATTGAAATTGAAATTTAGCTCATAAGATATATTTCAAATTAAAATTTTCTTTTTTTTTTTCTCATACACAATTTGAACTTGATGGTTCTTCATATTGTTGTGTAGTAAAACGAGCAAGACCATCTTTATAAACAAATATTCGAAATGGATCACATGATGTAACAGCCACATAAACACGTAAATCAAATTTAAACCCATCAAGTAAAAATGGCTAAAATAAAAAATGTAAAACAAAATATTTTCATAGATTTAACTAAATAATTTTCATACTCGATTAACATATACTTGTACAACAAAATTATCAGCGCTAAATAAACCACAAAACGAAAATAATTCTTTTATTTTTTGTTTTGTTTTTAATAATTTCTTACGGTTTAATATCTTTTCCTGGATTTTTTGTTATAAATATTCCACGTCCTTGACAACCAACATCCGGTTTTGATATATATGTTTTATATTTTTTCTCTGTATAATATTTAGCAAAATCGCTATAACTATTTTATTAAAAAAAATAAAATAAGATAAAAATTAATAACAAACTAAATTCATACTCAGCGGGAAGACACCATGCTTTTGGATAGAATGAATAATCTTTTGGAAACATTTTAATCATACGAGACATATTTCTTGTTAAAGAATCTTTTCTACATATTTCACTCATACCCGGAAAATGGTTTATTTTCTATATAAATTGAAAGTTATCCAATATTTAAAATGCAACAAAAAATAAAGGTATTTGATTTACACTAACCTGCCATTTTTTCATTTGCGCAACTCTTTCAATTCCAACACTTGTATCTGTCCAATAAATATTCCAATCATCTTCATCAGCTACTTCACGAAAATTTAATCGTTTTGCTGCTCGTCTTACACATTCATATTTGCACATGGATACACAGATATAGTAAAATCTTTAAAATATTAAAGTGTAATTAAAATTAAATAGGTTTTTTTTTTTTGAAACTTTTGATCAAACCTTTTTCGTTTTTTCTTTGTTAATTGTTGTTTTCTATTATCATTTTCATCTTCAATTATTCCTGATGCAGATGATTGAATGGCTCTCGGTAATATTCGTCGATCATCATCTGATTCACCTGCTTCTTCTATAGGAAAAAAAGTAAACAGATTAGAAGTTACTTTTTCCTTATGTTTAATAAATATAATAAAGAATATTTTTTTTCTTACCATAATAATCAGGTAATGGTGCTTGAAATTCAATTGGATCTTCAGTATCTTTTAATGATAATTCAACAGCTTTATTCATTGTTGATTTACCAATTATGGTTGATGGTACATCATCTTCTGATGATGATGCTCCACCACTTGATGCACTTGAACTTATTCTGCCTTGTCGTTGTCCTGTTGTTGCCATTTGATTTTAGAATATTTTATTATTAATAATGTGTGACAGGAAATGAATATTTTTAATCAAATAAATTTGTAAGTTTATAAAGAATTATTTTTTGATAATGCTTATGATTGAAACTATTTGGACAGAAAAATTAGAGTTTCGATACCGAAAGCCATCAGATTAACAAAAGATCTTCAAAAATACGATTAAGAAGTGAAAAACAAATTGCGAAAAAAAAACAAAATAAATCTCCTTGCAGAATCAATATACACATTGTTGTTATGTTGTTGTTACTATTATAATGGCAGTACATTCATTTTTTTTTCTTTTGCAACAATACACTACTATTCCTGATGCACGCAGCCATTCAAGTAGAGAGCAATAATAACATAACGAAGAGAGAGAGAGACACAGACAAAAAGAATAAAGGAAGAGAAAATAATCGGCTTTAATTCTTGAAATTGGAAGATTATACATTGATAAATTATTTCGCTTTTTTCCATTTAAAAAAAAAGAAAACGAAGGAAATATTTCACTTACATTGTCTCTAGAATGTTTGTTCATTTTTATGATCATACAAAAAAAAAAAATGATTGATATGAAAAAAGAACACTTGATAAAATACTCATTGCATAAAAAAAATTCTCTCTCAATCACAAGTGATTGACAGCTTCATAAGGAAAGAAAAAAAAATTCCTCGATTTTTAATTAAAGAACATTTTTGCTTGAACAAACTGGTGACCGGTGGAGGAGGGGGTCGAAACGAAAGTTTAATATTTCAAAAGTTCACAACATTTCTTTTTTTTTTTGTTCATTAAAAAAAAAAGAACTAAATATTATGATGATTGTTTGCACTTAGTCAACAATCGAATATATTGTAAAGCATCAGTTTCAAACAGGCTCTTATTTCGATGTGCGTAGAAATAAATCAGGTGTCAATTTTCATTTCATAAGGTTCTGTGAAAGATTGTGTATTTTTTTAAACAAATTTCTAAAAAAAAATTAACTTGAAAAGTTTCTTAATCAGCGCATTTTTACATACATCTAAGGAGAGGAAAGTCATCGTCTTATACGTCAAAACAAGCCATTGCCATCTTCCTTTACTTGTTATTCAACCTGCTTTTCTTAGCAACCGCCAGTACCATATTCGATTATGAATTACATTCAGAGACATCTACACCTTTTTGATTATTGGACAAGTGTTACTTGGGTTTTTCCGACTATGATTATGATTGATATGTTTTTTCTATTTAGCATCAGTAGATATAAATTTAATATTTAACTGATGATACTTTGTTTTTAATATGTTTATGTTTTAATGAAACACTTGAGTTTCAATAATATTATCATAATTTTATTACTAACATAAGTAATAACTGTTTATGAAATTTAAAATCATGTTTGTGAATTTATTTTTCTGTTTTATAATAGTTGTCTACTCATCATTATATTCTAGATTTGTGTCTTATCTAAGAAGATATTTTCAAAATTTTATTTGTTTACATTGTTTTAAGAAATCTATCTGTATTTGTAACTGTATTGATAATAGAATATTGTCTATTTCAGTTTCAAGAGTAAAAATTATTTTTCTCTCTAGAATATTTTTACAATATGATATACTCTGTTTTTAGTAGATTTTGACAGAACTTGAGAACTATGATTTTAGTATAGAATGAATTTTCAAATACTGAGAAATTTATTTCCTACCAATTTGTAAAGAGGCAAATAATGACTTTTATATATAGACGGAATGTACACCAAAGTCTTAATGATGTTTTTTTGGTCATATTATTTTGAAAAACTAGAAATAATCGACGAAATTTTTTATTTACTTGATATTTTTTTTTTCTAATGATCTTAGTTTCATATTCATTTTTTTAAAGTAATACATTTAAATATGATACATAGTGTCTATTCGAGCATATTACTTTACAATTATGCTTTTTTTTCAATGATGAAAAAAGAAAAGGCCTATACATTCACATGAAACCATGCATTTTTGAATTAATGTCATGTTTTCAATAACAAATGATAATTAAATTCAAGCGAAGTTAAATAAAAAGAGAGCCTACAACATAAAAAATAATAATTCTATTTATAAGAAATCTCAAATATAGAACAAAAACAAAAGAAAACATACTTATTTTTTGTCTGAATTGCCTAAAAAGAATATTTGACAACAAGAAAAAACAGCTTCTCAGTATACCTATAATAGCTTAAATTAAAGACTAGCAGGCTTAAAGTCAATACTTTAGGATAATGGTTATAATATGAGAATTCCTGTATTTAGCTCACTTATACACCGTTCTACTAAAATGATATCTTGATCTTATTCCTGAAATGATATAATAGTTATTCATCTAAGATCAATAGTCAAATATTTTGAATTCGATTTCAACAAAACTTTGAACATATCTTTTTAGTATAAAATAAATCATTACTAAAAAAAAAGGACACATTTAGATATTGAAATGATCAATCGATTATTGTCGTCTCAGGAAAATCTTGATTCAAGTCTGTTAACAAAACTCTTACATAGTAACAGTTTGATGCCAGAAATCATTTCAGTAACTTTGATAGTACAAAAAATTTCTTTGAGCTAATATATTTATTGCTTTTTTTCGTGATGTCTATTGGTGTGAATATTTCTCGAATATATAGACTTTTTTTCTTCAAAAATAAATGATCATATACTATTTCTAGATAATGTCTCATTATCATCATAAACGTCATCAATCACGTTCACGTTCACGTTCACATTCTCAAGTGAACAAACGCGACACTCAACAAAATCGAAATAATGATCGATCAAAGGATTATGATAGACGAGCTGATTCTAATGAAAGACATCATCATTCAAGTAAGTATTTTTCTATAAATTATTAAAAACTCTTTTCTGCTAATATTTAGTTCAATCAAACAGACAATATCCTTATCATCATCATCCACCGTTTTTAACTATGTCAATTGATGAAATCATAAGTAATGCTGAACAACATCCACCTTTTGTTCAAGCATTAGTTCGTGAACTGTTACTTGAACGAAAAAAACGACAATTAACCGAAGAAAAATTAAATATATGTGAACATGATTATGTACGTTTACGTGCTCAACATGAAACAGTAATAAATAATATGACATTATTAAAACATGATTTTGATCGATGTAGAGTTGATTTAAAAAACTGTTCTATTGAATTAAATGAATTACATCATAATAATCATCAATTAAGAGTACGTATGGATCAACTCTTAAATGATGAACGACAACATCCATATACTAATGAAGAAATATTCTATGCAAAACGACAACGAAAATATTAAATTAAATCAATAATTATAAAGATTAATATTTCATTGTGAATTTATCATCAGGCAAATATTTCTCGGAATAATAACCAGCAAATACATTTGATCATACGATTGTTAAGATATTTTTAATCTGAGTTACATTCCTTGTTTTTTTTTGTATTTATGTGTATATGTAATAGTCGAAATGTTTTTATTATCATTCAAGTAATTAGTTTTTGTTGTTTTTTGGTCTTTTGTTTTTTGTTTTTTTTTGTTTTTCTGTAACATTTCAAGTTATGTTTTATTTAAAAATGAACATAACTTTATTAGAGCTCGAATAGATTGTTTTCTTTTAATTTTATGAAAACAGACAATTGAAAAAGAAACTAAGGTAACGGGTAATGGAAACGTAATTAAATGAAACAAAACTTTCATTTACTTTCTAATCGTTTGAAAGAGCTTGCTGAAATTTGAAAACATTGGATTTGAATTAAAATTTTGTATCATTTATGATTATAGGTTGAACATGTCTTTAGAACTTCATCGAACTTTTAGAGGTACGAAAATTAAGTTTGAACGTAGGACAATTGTCTTTTTTTACGGCAATAATCTCCTTCACTGCATACGTTATATTACCGATTTTTCACCATTTAGTTAAAAACGAGATTGTTCTCGACAAAGTGATATAAGAATCAGTGTTGGGCAAATCAAGTCAAATTTGACTTGCTCATATCTGATAAGAATCAAGAATTGTAGAATAATTATTCAAGAATGATGGAGCTCACTTTACAAGTTTGTTTTTCATAGAAATCGAGAAAATCGCCGAAATTGACACGGTGTTCCTTACCTAAAAAATACTGACTGTCGATAAAGGACTTGCAACAAACTAATGATTTTTATACTATTTCATCGAGAAATGTTTACTCTTTTTTTTTTTTTTTTTTTTTTTAACATATACTTTTATTGTGCCCTTTATCCTGGTTCACAGGTTATAATAATAAGAAGAGAGAGAGAAAAAAAAAAGGGACGAGAGAGAGCAAGACAACAGAAAGACTAGAGAAAGTACTTGGTATAATATAATACCATTATTTTAGTATTACATCTGTTAATGTTCACCTGAGTCAGTATTCTATAGTAGTAATAAGAAATGGAGTAATAGCACAGACGGTATTTTACTAGATATCCGAATCGAGAGAGGAAAGTGAGAATATAACGACCTTTAATGAAAGGAAAAGTATTACGATGACAGTGTACACGCTGATATACAACTTATAAGAGGTAGGATATAAGGTGAGAGAAGGAAAAAGCAGAGAAACAAACAAAAAAAGAAAGACAACAAACGTAATAAACAAACAAAAAGAAAAAGAAAAAAAAACAAAAAAAAAAAAAAGTGGTATACAATGGAAGAATAATAGACCGATCAATAATAGTCCATTGGATTCTCGATAAAATATTTGTATATGAATAGGTAAATTTCTTTATTTGTTTTTTTATAATATTCATATTGCTTGACATGGACATTTTCAAACTCTAACCAATCTATCATGGTATGTTTAACTTGTAGACGTAAACGCTTGAAAAAGAAATTATTTTTTCTTATACCTAGTATTTTAAACCAGTTTTTATCGGGTTTAGTTATATTTAAATATTCATTCCAATTCATTTGGAATGCTAAAGCTTCATCTGCAGTAAGTAAGTGAAGTACCAGTCGGCGCCAATATTCGTATATATAATCGTATAACGATTTTTCTCTTGAAAGAACTAGCGTTGTTATATCATCCCAACCCTGTAGGTCATAAACTATTCTTAAACCGGTGCAGTAAACGTGAGCTATCTTCTCTTTTTGTCTTTCCGTAAAGAAAAACCAGGTACTAAATAACCATATAAAATGCGGAAGGGCATATGCTAAATATATTCTCCTACGAGTTATTACATCTTTTTTCTTAATTGTTTTACAGATTATTTTCATAGCATTATGTATTTTACTTATTGATTTGATTCTTTCATTTATATATTTCTCCCATCCCAATTTTACTGTTATATGTATCCCTAAGTATTTAAAAGTTTTCACATATTCAATTAGTTGATCTTTATAAAAGATTTTTGGGTATAAGGGGGAAACTACATTGTGCACTAGCATCGCTTTCGTTTTCAATATATTCACCGGAAGAATTAAATCATCAGAAAATTTCTCAAGCTGTTTCATTACTATTTTTGCTCTATCTTCGAGTTCAGAAATGTTTACTCTTTCGTTCTTTGTATATACAATAATTTTCGCTTTTTCTTTAGTTAGTTTTTGTAGCACTGATGTTTGTCCGAAATTAATTCACGGGTTTCGAACAGGTCTGCTCATAACTTCTCAACACGAAGCTCTACAAAATTTTTGAGCCAATATTCAAAAAGAAAACGAAGTTCTAATTGTAACCCAATGTTTTCAACTTTCTATAGGCTCCTTTTTTACGAGGTTAAAAAACAAAAGAACATTTTATCTAATTATTTTTCGATCACTCACTATATCAAGATCTTGAAAACTTTGAAATAATTTCTTATAAAGAAGATCTATAATATAGATATTGTTCGATATGATGCATTTCCAAAATCAAAGGTTTATTTTTCAAATAAATAAAAAGAAAATAAATATATTGATTACTTTGAAAAAAAAATATGACTGAAAATAAAATATTTTCATGTTAATACTGATTAAAATTTTCTTGATTTACAGGTGCATCTCGTACGAAAATCATATTATTAAATATTTTCGATGAACTATTATCCTCTTCAGTTCGTGGTTTTCGTTTTTTCAAAACTGAATTCATATTTAAATGAATATCTGTAGCATTTCTCTCATTCGTATTTTGATCAAATGTTCTTAATTGTTGTTGATTGTAAAAATCGTCTAAAATACGTCGTTGATATTGAAGACCATTATTGTTAGTTGCTTTTGTTGTAAAATCTTGAAGAGTTTGTTTTGTACGTTTTATAATTGCTTTTTCCAGTACAGATTGAGCTCGAAATGATTGAATTTTATTTTTAATAATCGATGAATTATTATGTTTTAAGGCAGCAGCAATCAATTTTAATAATAGAACTCGAGGGAAAACACGACGATCAACATGATTACCAGTTGTTGTAGTTTTTTTAGCAATAGAAAGAAAAAAGCGAAATCTTGGATCAATGATGTTTGTATATGTATTATTATTGACACGATTAACTGGATGAAAAGTTACAAGGTTATCGAAAAACTGATGTTGTTGTTGATATAGAATTGTTTGGTTACTTTTCTTTGTGATATTATCATTTTGATAATAAACAAAACCAGTATCATTAAAACGATATATTGGGCGAATGTGAAATTTTTGGAGAAGTAAACGAATTATAGAGTTCTTGTTAGAGGCAATCATAACTTGACCAATGGTCCTATTAAAAGGACGCACATGATTCTGTTGATCAGGTGTAAATTGTTGGAGATGAAAATTTGAATGATAAATATTCGATGAATAAATTATTAATTTTGAGAGTTTATTCAATGGAAAGTTGAACCATTGAACGACTGATATTAAATTAATGAAGAAATAAAGTATTAGAATGATAAGTATAATTTTCATGATACTTCTTTTTTTGAAAAAATAAATAGAGTAATCAGCAAATCGTTCCGCATATGTCACGGTATACAAAGAAAAGAGAACGAAAACTTAATAGGTGATTAACACAAGCTGCTACATCATGCATAGAATATTATTTGATATACTCATTAAAAAAATAAATATTCGATACTATATTGAAAGAAGTATAAGTGTATCTGATAGTATTCAAATATTATTTATTCATTTGACTTAATTTCATGAAATAAGAAGATGAGGCAGCACAAGAAAAAGTTTTGTTGATAAATTCAGATTTCTATTTACAAAATAGTAGTTTTCTTACATCGTTATCAATTTGTTTTCGTTTTCAATTATACGAATATAAGTTTATGAAAAAAAAACTTGTGATGAAATTGCTTTGAATTAGAAAATATGAATCATCAAAAAATTTATTTTTCATATTTTAATTAAAATTTTAAAAGAATGAACTAGTAAATTAAATTTAACTAATTATTCATCCCATTCAATAGATTGAAAATATAATCGAACGACAGAATATCACTATTAAAAACTAAATAGGTTATTTTACTCTGTTTTAAAATTAAATCGATACAATATATATTTAAAAATGATCATAAATTGACGAATGAATTTTTGGGATTTACTGACTCATTAGTAAACTTAATCATGTAAAATTTCATTTACCCTAAGACAATAATATCATAACAATAAAGAGATAGAAACAAACAGCTTACAAACAATAATATAACTAAAAATAAAAATCATATGTAAATAATTTTTTAAAATGACATGACACAACTTCTTATGCACATGTCAAATCACTGTATTTTTCAATAGTCGTACAAATCAAAAATCGAACAAGTTATTCATGAGCATGAAAGAAAAAAGAAATGTGGTAGATTCAAAATATGATATCCACCGGATGTATTACAACGTTTATGAGTCATTAGTTTTAAGAGAGTATTGTGTAAATTCGAGCATCAGAAGAATTAGCAAGAAGTAGTCGACCTGGTTCATGAAGTAAATCGACAATCCATGTTTTAGCTGGATATCGAACGGCCTAAAACATCAAAATAATCGTTAATATATTAAATACATTTAATAAGAAAAATAAAATTAATAAGCAAAATCCTATTTAACATGCAATAGACATACTAATTGTATAGATTTGTCATGTAATATTGATTTTTCTTTGTCACAAACTGAATTATAGAATGATATCTGTTTGTCATTATTTTTCAAATATGTATGTTCTAATTTTCTTAATGATTCATGCATTCGTTCAATAGATTCATCATCAAAAGGATTACATTTTATTATCTTATCCATTGAATGTTGATCATCATTTGTCATTGGATTAGAATCTTTATTCAACATGTATAATCGAAAGCTTTCAATCTAAACTTTAACTTTTTTAAAATTGTAAATAAAAAAAAACGTTCAAGTTTCAAGATAAACTAAAATTCTTATTATATTATTGCAAAGGTATCAAATGCCGGCAGTTCAATATTGGAGTAAAAAGTTATTTTTGACATATTCATACGATAGTCTTATAGATAAATCTATCTTTCAAAGTATCAAAGAAGGATATAAAAATTGAACGAAGCCAAACACATAAAAAGGCTATTGAGTTCTGATGCATTTGACATATTTTAATTTCTCTAGGTTTTTGCTAATATTTAACTATCCATAAAATTTACAAAAAAAATGAGATATACTCTTAATATAATAACATACCCCAGATGATTGACCAAGAATAACTTCATTCCAAGCACGATTATAATTGCCTCGTGTTAATGTACACGGTATTCCAAGTCGATCAGCTAATGTCTATATAATAAAAATTCTTTCTTTTATAATTTTTCTCTTTTTTGTAATATTTACTTTGAATAAAAACGCTCGTTGAGCATGAATACCTTTTCGTATTCGACCAATTGGTATAACATTTGAATGAAGTTCAGTTTTTAATTGATTCATTGCTACTTCATATCCAAATGTAGCTACATCATCAGGTGAAATTGTACCACCCATTTTTTCACTTACAAATCTTCATAAAATAAAAATTATTAAATATAAAATAAAAATTATTTAATTTTTACCTTGCTAAAGTTGATATTTGTTCTGATAATGGTACTTTTGTAACTTGTGGTTGAATTTCATCAAGATACATTTGAAAATCTTGATCTGTGGTTAGTTTATAACCTGATTTCTTTATATAGAAAACAAAAAAATAACCAATAAAACAAAGATCAAACAAAAGAAAATTTCCTACCGAATCAGAATTATTTGTTCCAGATACATCCTTTTCACTGTGTTTTTTATCTTCCGATAAATCTCGTTTTTCATTCGTTTTATCTTTTTTTGTACGACTAAAATTAAAACATTAATTATTCTCTAGGACTAACATTAAATTCATCGCATAAAAAAAAAAAGAAAAATTAAGTGAGTAGTTGAAGAAGGAAGAAAAAGCCATGCATATGTATGTTAATAAAGCATAATAAATTTTAATTCTAACATCCTTTTCATACCTGGATTGATCTACAGAGCTGCAGATTAGATATAGCTTGTCTAACTAGATTACTAAATGATAAAAAAGAAAAGTAAACTTACGTTTTTCCATCTCTCTCTTTGCTCGATGCTTTTGGTGTTTTTGCAGTACGTGTAGTAGTAGGAGTACCTATTTTTTCTTTGCTTTCCGAACCTTTCCTATATTAAAAATGAATTAATTTATTTTTAAAAATTTATCATCAAACAAGACATAGAATAGAAATGAGAAGAAAACCAAAAACCTACACCGGCATTGCTGATGTAGAAAGATTATCATCAGAAGAAAATGGCACTCGAGAAATATCATCTTCATAAGATCCTCCTGTAGTAGTCCATTGAGTAATACTGAATAAAAAAGAAACACACAAATTCACACACATTAATTATAGTGTAAAAACATGTGTGAGTGAAATAATTAATAAAAAAAAAAATGATCGAAATAAAGAGACATGCAACATATAATGATTTTTCTGAATGAACCAAAAAAATACTTACGAATCAGTTTGTGTAGGTGTAACAATAATGACTTTAGTTCTATAAGTGATACAACATTGATCGTGTGTAAAGCAAAAAATGTTGGGATTGTGGAAAAATGTGTTTTTTGTTTTAATGTTGATTAAAAAAAGCCAAATGAAAAAGAAAAAAGAAAGCGCTCTCTTACTTTTTTTCAGGTGCATATACAAGTAAAATTGGTCGACGATCATTCACTTCTTCAGCAGCTAGTTCTTCAATAGTTAAAAATTTTCCACCATCTCGAACAGGTCCCATATCATAAAATCCATCTGTTGTTATATTATTACTTTCTTTAAGAACAACAAAATTTTAATTATATAATTTTCTTTAAAGATAAATAATCAAACCTAATCGTCCAAGATATGAATATTTTGCTGATAAGTGACTATCAAGAATTCTTTGTAAAGCCATTTCAGTAAATTTACTCTTACGCGATTCAGATGTATTCAAATCACGTACTATTTCAAGTGCTCTGAAAATAAATAATCATAGTAATAAATAATAATTAAATCAATATTTTAATACCCATTTCGAAGAATTTCAATTGCTATAGCTTGTTCTACACAAAGAACACTAATAGCAAAACAAGCATTACGACGAACTTCATCATGATTTGATCTTAATAAGCTAACAAGAAGTGGAATAATTGGTTGATTATTTTTTATCTAATAGATTAATCAAAGACAAGATAAATATTTAAATTGTTTACAATTCTTACATCTTCTCGAGCTTTTTGATCAATACCATAAGCTGATAAAACCATAGCTGCTTTTGCTTGTGCTAGTTCATAGCTTAAATAGATATATTTTTTTGTTATTTATATAGAACTTCTCGCGTCAGAAAAATACAAGACGATTTCAGCGGAGAAAATACCAAAAATCGATGAAACTTGGAAATAATACTTCAGATCAGCAAGCCTTCAGATTTTTTCAGTCACTTTTGACTCATTTCTTTTATCTCCAAGTTCCATTGGTTTCCAATGTTTTCCTGCCGATTTCAATAAAATCGACTTGTCTCCGAGAGTTCGGAAGTTTCAACCTTGGTTGAATTATTATCAGATTAATACCTTGCTTGTAATGGTACAAGAAGACTTTTTATAAGACCTTTTTCCAAAGTATTTGTGCGCACAACTTGATCAGTTGAACAATTAGCCAATGTTGCACATGCATATGCTTTTGTTGTATCTTTTTCATCATTCAATAAACGAATTAATACTTCAATGCCTCCTTGATCTTGTAATTCCCTACGTATACAATCAAATAGTTATCAATATTTTCTATCCTATACTGGAAGTCTTTGTTACACAATCCATCGCTATAGATAAAATATTACAGTATTTTATCATACAATATAGTTGTGCATCACTTACTTATAAAACTTTCTTTGGAAAAATAATGAAATATGTAAAAAAAGGAATGAGGAACTGCTATAATCCCTAACAAACAAGGATTGACATATTCATAAAAATTACAAATATTGAAAGAATATTTTGTATCTAAAACTATTTAGATTCTCTCAATGAAATAAAAATTCATGATTAAATCACGAGTTTTTCTTATATTTCTTGTTGTATACATAATATTAGCAAAAAAAAAAACTCTTCAAAATCTTTGTGAGTTTTGTAAATGTGTCAATCCATTTTTTTTAATCCACTATAAACATATACGAAATTTCAGTGCTAATAGCACTATCGTTGACATTTTTTTCAAAAAGAAAACGTTTTGATTTTTCATTTTAGCAGTATTAAAATGCTTTCTATGAAAGAGATATTATACTTATGAATCATAGCTTTACATTCTCAAAAAAAGTGTGAGCGTCGGTTTTGAATTCACTATCACGTCCAAACCTTCTCAGAAAGATGAAGATACTATGTATATCTCAAAAAAAAACAGTCATTTTGCTTACTTTTGTATTTGTCTAGCTTGTTTTTTGGATACTCTTAG